CATGGAAATATGAGGGGGAAACGTAAAAAGTGAACTTTTTTGAGATCATATACGAGGGGTGTGTAATGTCAAACATAGTACAATTTCAGGAGAATAATAGGAGAAGGGGGAGTGTGATTAGATGAAGAATTAGAATTCGTTAAGAAGAATTTCAGCGTTCTTAAAAATTTTATAGCAATCAATTCATCGCGAAAACGATGTTCTGGCGATCCATCACCAGCACGCCGTTGGCTGTGTATTGATCCAGACACTTCTGGAGGGCGACCTCGCTGATTCCCTTGCGAGCGCATCGTTGGATGGCGTTCGACAGAGCGATTGGCTCGTTGCTGGAGTGGAAGATCTCGCGGAGCACAGAGAAGGCGGCGTCGACTGGAGACATGCGTCTGGAAAAATAGATTTTTAGAAGATGAAGTAGCTGGAATTTCAGAAGACGTTAAAGTAATCGATTTTAGATAAACCTACTTTTCGATTCTAGTCTGCTCTGGACGAAGCGAGTCCTTGGCGAACTGCATGAGACGGAGAGCCTCCTCAACATCAGTCTCGTCGACAATTTTGGAGAGACGAAGCTTGGCACGAGCGGTGGCCATTCTGACGATTCCGAGAATCATTCTTGGTGACACAAATGTTGGATCCGAGGAATAGCGAGCATCACGACGCATCTCGACGTAAGCCTCCACAATGCGCTCACGAAGAGCCGGGTCCACAGTTGGAGTGTAGGTCTTGCAAAGAGCAATGTACTCGCGAAGAGTCTCCAGTGAGATGACGTCCTTCTTCTCGCGATTTGGATGACATCCGTGTTGATGGACGTAGGTGATGTGCTCGGCGAGAGTCTTGTCGTTCTCACGATCAGCCTTGTCTTGCATAAGGAGGATGAGATCGAAACGGGAGAGAAGAGCAGCTGGGAGATCCACATTTTGCTCAATAGAGCGATTTGGGTTGTAGCGTCCGTAGGCTGGATTGGCTGCCGCGATGATAGCGGTACGAGCGTTCAGAGTGGTCATGATTCCTGCCTTAGCGATTGAGATGGTCTGTTGCTCCATCACCTCGTGGATAGCGGTTCTGTCATTATCCATCATCTTATCAAACTCGTCAATGCAACAGATTCCACCGTCAGCCAAAACAAGAGCTCCTCCTTCCAACGACATCTCACCAGTGACTGGATCCTTCATCACAGCGGCGGTGAGACCAACTCCAGATGATCCGCGTCCAGTGGTGTACTGAGAGCGTGGAGCCAAACGGTTGACGTATCCGAGAAGCTGAGACTTGGCGACTCCTGGATCTCCCATCATTAGAACATTGATGCAACCACGAATCTTCATTCCGTTAGAGGTGTTGTCGTTTCCTCCAACGAGAGCCATCAGAAGACATTTCTTGACATCGACGTGTCCGTAGATTTCTGGAGCGATCGATGCGGCGAGGGCTTCGTAGTTGTCACCCTTGCGACGGAGAACCTCGAGCTCCTCGGAATGGACTCCACTGAATGTTGGGTTGTCGTCGAGGTTGTTGATGTACTGCAAATAAGATTAAGGTCATTGCGTCACTAAGAGTCGTATAATACTTACATGAGCCTCCAAATAGGTGTCAGCAACGAGACCACCAGTTGGCCGGAATCCAGACTGCATGATTGGCAGGAAAACTCCCGAAATCTGCACTATATTTCCAGTATTGCATCTTCTGGTCATCTCTCCACGAACGTAGACAGTCATAGTACGTGGAATGGATCCTACTGGCACTTGCTCGCTAAGCTCCTGAACTTTGAGCTCTTGGAACTTGACGAACTTGGATCCACGGAGCTGCATATGCAGTCTTCCGTTGGCCTTGGCTTCCACACATTCCTTATTCGGGCAGTTGAGTGGTGGGGTGAATTGCATTCCGTTAACAGGCTGGTAGACCTCCGCAGCACAAGTGTCGCAAGTGTACGTCATCACTTCAACGCATGGCTTTACCTCGGTGGCACGGATAACGACTCCTTTCATAGAGACCAGATGTCCGATTTCGGTAGCCTTGATGTTGCGAACGCAGGTTTGGTGAGCGTTGTCCTCGGTGGTGAAGTAGACTTCGAAGCGTTGAAGAAGTTGTGGCGGGTACTTCTTGAGCTTATCCTGAAGAGACACTTCCTCGTTGTTAGCTCCTTCGGTCTTGTCCATGTAGATACGTTGGAACATGTGAGCGTCGAGTCCATCGATGACTGGCGCTTGCTTGTCTCCGAGATAATCGAGAATGATGTCGTAAATCGTGTCCATGAAGAGCTTCTGATACCGTTTCGTGTTGTTGACGATGGCTTCTGAGAGCTCCATGGCGTCTGGGATGTCGGAATCCTTGATGTGATCAACGTCGATCACAATAGCCTGCTTCTCGCGACGAGCGATCTCGAATATCTGATCACGGTATGGGAAGGACTGAAATTTGAAAAATCAAAAATTGAAGAGATTTCTTATGAATACCTTCGTTCCATCGTCATTCTCAACGTAGTAGTCATCGAAGAAGTTCCGAATTTTAGTCTTCTCGGCTTCAAAATCTGTGTTGTAAGTTTTTGCCTTCATTTTGGTGAGTTAATAGTGAGAGACGAGCTGTAAATTGATAAGATTATTATCGAAAAAACGAAAAATCGAAAAAAAATCCATCGAAAAAGACGGAAAATCGCTTGGGGTGTATCGGAATGCGGCAAATCGCGCCTCTTTCCGTTCAAATTTCGCGCGTTGCCGCCATGTCGTGGTGAGACCCGCAAGAGGGGAAAGTGTGTGCGCCTTTAATCAGAATTTGTTCGAACATGGACTGCGCCATTTTAGCGGTTTTCAGCTAAATTTCAGACAGTTTTCAGGGTGAATGTTCAGATTTTGGGAATTAAAAAAGAGAAAATAATAGAAAAGCTTCATTTTTAAGCTAGAAAAGTCTAAAAATCGATTGTGAAACTGCCTAAAATCCGTATTTGGATTGAACGACTTCTATTATACTTTCAGCCGTATTTTGTTAGTTTTTTTGCTGTAAAAAACTCATTCACGACTATAAAATCGATTTAAAAGTGTCAAATAATAATTTTGCGAGTAAAAAAGCACCAGAAACCCTGCCCGAAGCTTGTTTTTTAGCAAGTTCTTTACAAACTCATTCTGCTTCGATATTATTCATTTTCCTTGCCATTTTGTACATATTATTTGTAATTCTTCTTTTCGTTATCCAATTTTCTGTTTTCAGTAATACCATGGTCGCCTGGAGAGCCGCTGGACTCAACTACGTCCGTTTCTCGCAAATTGCCGCCGAGATTACCCGCAAGTGTGCCAAGGCTGCCCCAGGAAAGGCTGCTGTCAAGAAGCCAGAAGCCACTCTCAAGGTCTGTTTTATGATTTCTGGAGTATTTTCAATCGGTTTCCTTTTCAGATCAACTTGTGGGAGAACGGAAAGCAACAGAAGTAGATGAGCAGACCTTGATGGTATTCGAATAATTCCCGTTTGGATACATTCCCACACTCGCCTTCGGATCACTTTTCTTCTTCTTCTCTCTCGTTCACTTTCATTATTTTTTTTTGATTTTCTATAGTAGATGGCATATAAATTTTAAAGAGTTCTTTGTATGTTCTTCTCACACCCTTCTCCAAGTTGCACTTCTCTTTTCCCAAATATTTCTGTTGTCGGTGTGTTCTAACGCGAATTTTCTCCTCCTTAATTTCCAGAATTTCCGAATGTATTCTCCCAAACGGGTCAAGTTGAATCTAACAAACGGAATGAGGAAACGACCGGAAACGGAGGAGAATCGCGGAGAGCTCTATCCACCGACAGCGATGGCACGCAACGGTATCAGTCCGTATTTCATCGGGAAGCCTCGACGGAAAATCGTGGGAGATCATAAAGCTTCAGAAGCAGGTCCACCGCCTCCGTTCCCGTTGAAACCGAAACGAAAAGAGCCGGATGACGATCCCGAAAGTATTGTTATCGATGAAGACGACGAGGAAGACGAACCAGCACCTCAAGTCGAGAAGCGAGAGCCTAAAAAGACCCACAACCGCCCGTTTTTCGGCGAGAAGAGCAGTCTAACCGCCACGGAACTAGAAACCGCGAAAAAAGAAGAGGTCGTCAAGAAAAAGGATCCGTTCACAATGCGAGGATTCGACTTTGGAAGCGACGAGAAAGTCGTCAAAATACGCGACAAAATTTGTGATATCGTTGATCCGACGGGCGCAAGAAGGTCAGATCCGGCGTTTATTCAACAAATGCACAGTAATACGTTGAAAGGCATCGAGGTGGCAACGAATCCGAAATTTAAGCAGAAAAGGTGCTTTTGATACAAAAAGCACCGAGAAAAAGAGCCTTACCGTTGTAGCTTTAGATTCTGAAATATATTCGAAATAACCAAATACATTGAAAATATAATTTTTCTAGAACCGCTAACAACAAGAATCGAGCAGCTATCGGATCTACACTGGGCACTATATATCCAAATTTCCTGACCGCCAGTGGCCAAGAGCCGCAGAAGAGCAAGTTTCAAATTCCACTGGACCGTCAATCCAGCTCTCAATCCAACCACTCCCAACCGATTCGAAAAACGCTACCAGAGATCCCAAGACGATGTTCCAATTCGCTGGTTAAAAAAGCGATGGGGATGGATACGGATGGCGGGGGGAAGGATGAGAGAATGGATGGATTGAGGTCAGAGCCCACGCTGAAGCATTTCGATGAGAATATTATCTCGTTGATCGAGTCGGAAATCATGTCGGTGAATAATCAAATCGGATGGGCTGATGTGGCTGGGTTGGAGGGCGCGAAGAAGGCGTTGAAGGAGATTGTCGTGCTGCCGTTTCAGAGACCGTAGGCTGTTTTTTCCAAATTTCTGCAATTTTTGACTTGATTTTCAAAAAATTTCAGCGAATTTCAAGTGATTTTCAGACAAGAATCACAGTTTTGAGCTCATTTTTCATGATTTTCAAGTCATTTTTTTCATGATTTTCTGGACTTTTTGAACTCGAATTAGCCTGAAAGCAGGCTGAAACGATCTGAAAAATAGTCGAAATCGGCTGAAAATGACTGTAAAAGCTTAAAGTTTCAAGCCGAAAATGAGCCTAACCGATTATCATTATTCTGAAAAATCAAAAATCATTATTCTGAAAAAATATCATTATTCTGAAAAATCCAAAATTAGAGCTTTTTGGTCATTTCGGACTCAATTCTTATAAAAAAGGTCAAAAAATCATGAAAAAGAAATGAGCAAAATGACCCTAAAATCATGAAAAAATAAAGAAAATGACCCGAAAATCATGAAAAAATGAAGAAAATGACCTGAAAATCATGAAAATAATGAAGAAAAAGACCTGAAAATCATGAAACAAATAAATAAAATAACCTGAGAATAATGAGAAAAAATAAAGAAACTGACCTGAAACTCGTGAAAAAAATGAGCAAAATGACCCGAAAATCATGAAAAAATGAAGAAAATGACCTGAAAATCATGAGAAAGAATAAATAAAATGACCTAAAATTAATAAGAAAAAATGAAGAAAATGACCTGAAAATAATGAGAAAAAGTGAAGAAAATTAGCTGAAAATCATGAAAAATGAGCTTAAAACTGCGAAATTTGACTGGAAATCAAAATTTTTGAATTTTTGATGTTTCGGCTGAAAATGACTGGAAATTCGCTGAAATTTTTTTTGGAAACTAGTCAGAATCGTTCCACAGCTCCTTCCGATTTTTTAAAGGGATTTTTTCTATTTTCAGTGACATCTTCACTGGACTCCGTGCTCCACCGAAAGGCGTCCTCCTTTTTGGACCACCTGGAACCGGAAAAACAATGATAGGACGTTGTGTAGCATCCCAAGCTCAAGCCACCTTCTTCAACATCTCCGCATCCTCATTAACCTCGAAATGGGTCGGTGAGGGTGAGAAACTGGTCCGTGCGCTGTTCTCAGTGGCTCGATTGAAACTCCCCAGCGTTATTTTCATCGATGAAATTGATTCGTTGCTATCGGCGAGATCAGAATCAGAGCATGAGTCTTCTAGAAGGATCAAAACGGAGTTTCTGGTTCAGCTGGATGGTGTGAATACTGCTCCGGATGAGAGGTTGTTGGTGTTAGGAGCCACGAATCGACCACAAGAATTGGATGAAGCGGCGAGGCGAAGATTTCAGAAGCGATTGTACATTGCCCTTCCAGAACCGGATTCTCGTACACAAATTGTTGAAAACCTGTTGCGAGGCACTCGTCACGAGATCACGGATCACAATTTGGAGAAGATTCGAAGGCTTACAGATGGCTATTCTGGAGCCGACATGCGTCAGTTGTGTACAGAAGCAGCGATGGGACCGATTCGAGAGATTGGAGATCAAATTGCGACGATTAATAAGGATGATGTGAGTTTTTTTGCAAGGTTCCTGTCAATGATATAAAAAAGGAAGCAACTGATAAATTGTTTATCACAATATCATGATTGTTTTGTAAGTTGACACATTTTAGATATCTTACAAAGAAATTGAGATACACTGGGGCTCAAAGTTAGAAGTAAGTAGTGTGTTGTGTCGATTGTTGACAATCGACAAAAATTGACGGAGATCGACAAAATCGGTGTCGTTTTCGTCGACTCGATCAAAAATCGACAAAAAATCGACTTTTCAAAAGTCGATGAAAGTGAAAATCGACAAAAGTCGATTTTTGTCGATTTTGAATCGACTCAAAACCGACAAGCATCGACAAAAAATCGGCGAAAAATCGACTTTTCCGACCTTTGTCGATTTTTAATCGACTTTAATGTCCGAGAGGATTACACGGCCGGTGACCTAGAAACTGTCTGTTTTTTTGTTGTGCCTGTTTGAAACTGTCGGCGTGCTCCATTTCGATATAGTGGCCGAACTTTTGCAAGTAGGGTTTTCTAGGCCACCTTTTTCTGGCCTTTCAATGAAACTAGACAACAGATATATTAATAGCCAGTCATTTATTTTTATTTGCCGCGGTGTGTGTGGTCTTGTGACACCATGCCCACATTGTTTTGTTTTTTATAGAGTAGGAGGCGAGGATGATTGTACTCACATGCTCGTCATTAGGACAAATAGTGGCACCACAGCAGGTGTTTTTAAATGTTCAAATATTATGATTTTGTGATTTTGTCTTTCAAAAATCAGTTAAATTCATAATTGTCAAGTCCAAAAATCCCAATTTCGAGTGCTATTTAGGCTATTTTCAGGCTCAAAATCTCAATATTAAGACCCAATTTGAACATTTTCAAGTCAAAAAATGGCGTATTTAGGTCTGAATCTCATAATTTCTACCCCTAAAAATGCCAAGTTTTAAGTCCAAGTTTTGCCAGTTTTGAGCCTAAAAACCATCGTTTTAGGTTCAATTTTTAGTCATTTTCAGGCTTAAAATCTCATATTCATGCCAAAATTTTGCCATTTTTAGGCCGAAAAATCCCCCATTTTAGATTCGAAGTTGACTATTTTTGAGACTATAATCGAAATCGTCAATTTTCAGTTCCAATTTGGCTATTTTCAGGCTTGAAATCTCAATTTTAGGTCCAAATTTGACCATTTTCAGGCCTGAAAATCCCCGTTTTTAAATTCAATTTTTAGTCTTTTTAAGCCCGAAAATCCCAATTTCAAGTCCCAAATTTTCCCATTTTAAGACTTAAATGAGCCCTTTTTAGCTTAAAAAGAAACGAAACAAACTAGGCCAAAAGCACTTCTCTCAGGTTTTGTTGCGAAATTTTCGCATTTTTCTCCCCCAGACCTCCCCGCCCCCCGCTCACAAGTTTCGAAACATTACGAAAAATTGTTTTTTCTCTTCAGATCCGCGCTGTAACGGTCGCCGATTTCACGGAAGCGGCTCGTGTCGTCCGTCCGACGGTCGACGACTCCCAGCTGGATGCCTACGCAGCCTGGGATAAGAAGTTCGGATGTCTACCACCGCCACTTTGAGAATTGTTTTTGGATTTTTTGGCTTTTTTTTATGCATAAATTTTCTTTTTTTCTCATAAATTCCATTGTTTTGAAAACTGTATTATCTTCCCCTTTCCCTTACGTCTTCTGAATCTCTCTTCTATTTCAAATCTCATGTACCATATATGCATCTTTTTTTATATATCTTATGATCTCTACCTCTTTCTAGATATGTCTTTCTTGAAATACAAATTTTAAGGGTTCTGAATTTTTTAGGTTCCAATACGATAGGTTTCTAAATCCGTTTATTTTTTATAATTTTCTTTTCAATTGAAAAAATTTGAATTTTCACGAAAAAACGAATTTTCCAGGAAATTATGCCGATTCAAGAGCTCAAAACGGGCGAAGACGTCGCCGCGTTCATCAAGGACCCGTCGCCGGCGGTGCTTCATTTCTTTGCCACGTGGGCGCCGAGCTGTGAGCAAGTGAATCAGCTGCTCGACGATCTTCTGGCCGAAATCGCGTTGCCACTTCGCGCGGCGTACATTGATGCGGAAGCGCTGCCAGGAATCTCGCTGAATTTCAAAATTACAGCCGCACCGACGCTGGTTTTCTTTAGTGTGGGTTTAGGACAGAAATTGGCATTTTCATTATTTTCTCATGATTTTTTGCTCTTTCTTATGCTCAAAATGAGCCGAAATAAGCCCAAAAAGTGCTCAAAACCTGTCTAAAATAAACTAAAATCAGCCTGAATATCAGTCCAAGCACATTTACCATGATGGCCTAACTTTTGAAAGTTGAGTTTTCTAGGCCACAAAACTTTTTTGGGCTTGAGATAGACTGGTATTCACCTAATGCGTTTTCCAGACCATTTACGATGATGGCCTAGAAAAGTCAACTTGCTAAAGTTAGGCCATCATGTTAAAAGAGCCTAACAAACGCACTAGGTGAATCTCATCCCATTTCTAGTCTATTTGGTCATGGTGGCCCAACTTTTGCAAGTTGAGTTTTCTAGGCCATAATTTCAAACGGTTCAATAATCGTCTGATATTAACCTGGTGTATATTCTAAGCCATTCACCATAGTGGCCTAGAAAACTCAAATTGCAAAAGTTAGGCGGCTGGTACGATCTGAGAATTAGTCGAAATCGACCGAATTTTCTCGTCTTTGTATCAGCATTAAGCCTATTTTTAGCTGGAAATTCACAAGTTGCTTCAGTCATTTTCAGCCGATTTCGACTGCTTTTCAGGCTGATTCTAGCAGTATGTGTTTTAGAACCGCGGCTTTTTAGAACCGCGACGTTTCAGAACCGCAACTTTTTAGAACCGCGACGTTTCAGAACCGCGACATTTTAGATCCGCGACGTTTCAGAACCGCGACATTTTAGAACCGCGACGTTTCAGAACTGCGAAGTTTTAGAACCGCGACTTTTAGAACCGCGAAGTTTCAGAAATTGCGACATTTCAAAACTGCGACACTTTAGAACGGCGACGTCTCAGAACCTCGACGTTTCAGAACTACGACATTTTAGAACCGCGACATTTTAGAACCGCGACGTTTCAGAACTGCTACATTTTAAAACCGCGACGTTTCAAAACTGACCATTTCAGAACTGTTGAAAAACTGGATTCTAGCTCATTGTTGACGTTTTTTGAGCGATTTTTGAGCTTTTCCGGAAGTTTCATAACAAAATTGTTCAAATTTGGCGAAATTCTAGGATTTTTTCTATTAATTTTCAGAAAAACCCTCTAATAGAAGGGCCCCTGTAATAGAAGGGCCCTCCGAGACAAGGACCGCCTCTTCTAATACAAGGGGTTTTACGGTACATTTTGTTTCCAGAATGGCAAAGAAGTGGACCGTGTCGATGGCTTCATTCCGAAAGAGATCCAATCCAAAGTGGTCCTTGTCGCCAGCCGCTCTCTCTCCCAATCCTCTTTAGACTCCAACTCCACCATCTCCTCCTCAACGCCTTCATTGACTCCAGAACAGGAGAAGGATGCTCTCAACAATCGTCTCAAATCTCTGATCAACTCTCACCGAGTTATGCTTTTTATGAAAGGAAATCCATCGTCGCCACGTTGCGGATTCTCCAGAACCATTGTGGATCTTTTGAACACCCATAACGTCGAGTTTGGATCCTTTGACATCTTCTCCGATGAAGCTGTACGTCAGGGTTTGAAGGAGTACTCCAACTGGCCAACGTATCCACAGTTGTATCTCGATGGAGAGCTTGTCGGAGGACTGGATGTCGTTAAGGAGGAGTTCCAAGATCAAGGATTCATTGATGGACTGCCGAAAGTTGGAGGATCAGGAAAGGAAGATCTGGAGAAGAGACTCAAGGATCTCGTTTCATCGCATCGGTTGATGTTGTTCATGAAGGGGAATAAGGAAATGCCGAAGTGCGGATTCTCGAGGACTATTGTGGAGTTGTTGAACAATGCACGCGCCGATTTTCACACTTTTGATATTCTGGAGGATGAGGAAGTTAGACAGGGATTGAAGGTACGGTATTTGGGGGTCTTTGGGACCAGTGTGTGTTTTTTTTGAGACGGCTAAGTGTGTTTGAGGTCATTTTACCATAGTGGCCTAACTTTTGCAAGTCGTGTTTTCTAGGCCATAAGACTTTGTGGGCTCGAAATAGCCAGACATCCAACTGGTGCGTTTTCCAGGCCATTCACCAGGATGGCCTAGAAAACTCAATTTGCGAAAATTAGGCCATCATGTTAAAATAGCCTAAAAACACACCAGGTGATTATCAGCCCATTTATAGCCAATTTGGTCATGGTGGCCTAGCTTTTGCAAGTCGAGTTTTCTAGGCCATAAATTCAAACGGTTCAATCATCGTCTGATATTAACCTTTTGTGTTTTCTAGTCCTTTTACAATGATGGCCTAACTTTTGTAAGTTGAGTTTTCTAGGCCTTAAGCCTTTGTCGGCTCGAAATAGCCAGACATCCAACTGGTGCGTTTTCCAGGCCATTCATCAGGGTGGCCTAGTAAAAACCAACTTGCAAAAGTTAGGCCACTGTGTTAAAATGGCCTAGAAAGCTCAAATTATGAAAGTTAGTCGACCATATCAAAATGATCTAGAAAACACACCCGAGTCATGCCAGACCATTTCTAGCACATTTACGATGGTGACCGAACTTTTGCAAGTTGAGTTTTCCAGGCCATAATTTCAAACGGTTCAGTAATCATCTGATATTTACCTGATGTCTTTTCCAGGTCATTTACCATGTTGGCCTAGGAAACTCAATTTGCAAAAGTTAGGGCATCATGTCAAACTGGCCTAGAAAAAACACCAGATGAATACCAAGCTAATTCTAGGCCATTTACCATGGTGACCTAGGGAACTCCACTTGCTAAAGTTAAGCCACTATGCTAAAATGGCCTAGAAAACAGACCGTGTGAACACAAGGCTATTTCTAGGCCTTGTTAGCATGGTGACCTAGAGTATCAACTTGCGAAAGTTAGGCCACCATCTCAAATGACATAATAATGATCTGATATTCATCTGGTGTATATTCTAGGTCATTCATCATAGTAGCCTAGGAAACTCAATTTGCAAAAGTTAGGGCATCATGTCAAACTGGCCTAGAAAAAACACCAGATGAATACCAAGCTAATTCTAGGCCATTTACCATGGTGGCCTAGAAAACTCAACTTGCGAAAGTTAGGCCACTACGCTAAAATGGCCTAGAAAACAGACCGGGTGAATATTAGGCCAATCCTAGGCATGGTGGCCTAGAAAACTCAATTTTCAAAAGTTAGGCCACATGCTAAAATGGTCTAGAAAACACGCCAGATGAATATCAGCCCATTTCTAGCACATTTACGATGGTGGCCTAGGAAACTCCACTTGCTAAAGTTAGGCCGCCATGTCTAAATGGCCGAAAAAACACACCAAGTGAATATCAGGTCGTTTCTAGATCATTTTCCATGGTGGCCGAGAAAAATTATGTTGAGAAAGTTAGGTCACCATAATAAATAGCCTAGAAAACACGTCAGGTCAATATGAGGTCATTCCAGGCCAATTTCGATGGTGGCCTAGGAAACTCAACTTGCGAAAGTTAGGACACAATTGTAATCACACACTACTTGTGACCCACAACTCCTCATATAAAATCTGTATTTTCAGGAATTCTCCAACTGGCCAACCTACCCACAACTCTATCTCGATGGCGAGCTCATCGGCGGACTCGACGTTGTCAAGGAGGAACTTCTGGACACCCATTTCTTGCGTCAGATTCCCAGAATTCGGAATGAATGATAATTTTACCTGATACTTGAACCCCAAACCCCCCCCCCCCCCCAAATATCTCAAATGTGTCCTTCCCGATTCTTTCAATCCCCCCAAACCGATTCCTTTGCTCCAGACTATGCTCCAGAATATGATGCCCGTTTTTTTTTGAGACTTTTATTGTGTGTAAATTCAAATCTTTAATCTCCTTTATTTATTGTAAAAATGATTTTCTATCTACTCGAATTTTCTATAGTTTCTACTCTTGCTTCTGCTTCTTCGTCGGACGATCATAGAAGGCGACAGTGGATAATCCGAGCGCCAGCGCGACGAATAGCCATCCCAGAATTGCGGCGATCGGTTTGAACACTGGAATCGTTTATTTATTTTTTTTTTAATCTTTTATTTTTCTGTATTATTTTAAAAGTTTTAAATTGAAAGTTTCAATTTGAAACTCAAAAATCCCCGACTCACAATTCTCGTCACAAACGCTGGCCATCAATCCGGAGTCCAGGAGGAATCGGCCGTTTGGATAGCCGGCCAACCACCACAAGTTGTACTGGTCCTGAGAAGAAAAGAATAATCAAAGCCTAAAGGAAAGGACACCTACAGTATCAATAACGAAATTCAAGTTATGGACCACCGCAAAAGTGATTCCATGCTTCTGTTCGCTGATGGCTTTTTTGAAGTGAGGTCCCACGGAAACCATCACATTTCGATTTTTGAATGCGGTGATTGCGGGGAGTACGGTGGCGTTGATGAATCGAAGCGACGGGAAATGGATTGGGGTGTGGATGTTGGTGTTGTTGATGACGATGATGGATCCGTAGATTTTACGAACACTTCGGTAGATGTCGACAGGAAGTTCGATGTCGGCTGGAAGCCTCTATTAGAAGGGCACACAAGTTTGAGCCAAATTATCTCAGTTCCCGTGAAAGATATGAAAACGTGGTCAACTGATGAAATGTTACTGATATTGTGATTAACATTTTATCAGTTAACCACTTTTTGATATCTATTATAGGAACTGAGATAAATTGGGTCAAAGTGGGCGCTTGCCAGCCGAGCTACGTGGCCGGCGGCCAACCTTTAATCTTCGAGCCAATTTATCTCGGCTCCCGTGAAAGGTATCTAGAATCTGTCAACTGATAAAATGTACCTTATAATATCGCGAACATTTTATCATTTGACCGCTTTTTTATATCTCATGGCAACTGAGAAATTTGAGCTCGAAGTTGATGACTTGGGAAATACAGTATCCCTCCAAAGACTCACTCAAATTCATGATAAAAATGTCGCCAATCACATGTGTGCACCGCGGCTCTTTGGCCATTTCGAACAAATAGGGAACGTCGGACATATCAGTGGCACTGATATTTTGACCAATGCATACTCGAGCAGCAAGTGCCACGTGGCAGCAGGAGATGAGAAAGACGAGCAATTTTGGGACTGAAATTTGTCTCGAATTAATCCCTAATAATCTCGGTTGTTATTAAAGATGTCAAAAAGTAGTCAACTGATAAAATGGTTGCCTTGTTATCAGGAACATTTTGTTAGTTGACCGCTTTTCGATACCTGTTACAGGGAATGGGATAATTGGGATTGAAGTGAACTACAGTAAATAAACGCCCAACCCGCCAACTTTAAGCTCAATTATCTCGGTTGCTGTAAGAGATATCAATAAGCGGTCAACTGATAAAATGTTTCTGATATTATGATAAGCAATTTATCAGTTGACAAGTTTTTGTTATCTTCCACAGGAACCGAGATAAATTGGCTCAAAGATTAAAGGTTGGCAGCCGGCCACTTAGCTCAGCTGGCAAGCGCCCACTTTGACCCAGTTTATCTCAGTTCCTATGAGAGATATCAAAAAGTGGTCAACTGATAAATTGTTTATCTTAAAGTCAGTAACATTTTATCAGTTGGTCACTTTTTCATATCTTTCACGGGAATTGAGATAATTTGGCTCAAACTTGGGGGCCGTTCTAATACGGTAACTTCCATGCCCAAACTTTGAGCTCAATTTTCTCGTTACTGTAAGAGATAGCAAAAAGTAATCAACTGACAAAATGTTCATCAGGATATCGGCAACGTCTTATCAGTTGACCACTTTTCGATATCTGCTACAGTAACCGAGATAATTGAGCTTCCATTAGTGCGCTTACCACCAGACAGCATTGAAAATATCGCGCTTGACTTGATTCGGTTTATCTTCTCAATCTGGTAGGCAAATTTTGACTGAGCACACAATTTTTTTGAGCTCAAAAGTGCTTTAAAAATTCCAGTGATATTTAAAAACGTGGTGGAAAAATGTGGATGAAACAAAATCCACGTGGCCCCAAAAAAAGATTTTTTTTTAGAAAATCGAAATTCCCTTGATGGCCCATTGACCTCTGGAAGATTACTATAAAGGAAAAGGAAAGTAGAGGGAAGAATCAGTTCTCCCTTCTCTAGGGCTCCAGAGAGGGGAGGGGGAGCTCCGGTTGGAGCCAGGAGCCTGGGCCAGCAGGAGCTTCTAGACCTCGAGCTTGAGGTTTAGCTGGACCTGGCGGTCTAGCTGGAGCCTGGAGCCGCTGGAGTTGGAGACACAAGCCAGGTGATGGAGCCGGAGCAGATGCTATAACTGAAGTCAGGAGGAACACATTTTGGACCCTATACTGGAGCGCATGGACACTCGTGGACATGCAGATGGATATGGACATAGCCACAGATGGACCATTTTGGTGTTGCCATGAATGTTGGGCTGTGAAGTTCACGAAGTTCAAGATAATGGCTTCAACAATGTTACGATGCATGCCACGCAGACGATTCAGACGACTCAGCTGCTCCGACGATGATGCAGACGATTTAAACTGAAAATAAGAAATCATTGAAGATTCAGACCGAGACAGCGTTTATGAGAGACTGCAAAATACGGAAGGAATTTCGATGTATTGATCTTGCCACTATATTTTCTGAAATTTTATTAAATAAATCAACGAATGAATAGATTTTTCATATGGTTCGTCAGCTTTCAGCTGATTTTTGTCGGTTCCTGTGACAGATATGAAAAAGTGGTCAACTTATAAAATGTTGCTGATATCCTGATAAACAGTTTATGAGTTATCTACTTTTTGATATCTTTCACGGGAGCCGAGATAAATTGGCTCAAAGATTGAAGGTTGGCAGCCGGCCACGTAGCTCGGCTGGCATGCTCCCACTTTGACCCAATTTATCTCAGTTCCTATAAGAGATATCAAAAAATGGTCAATCGATAAAATCTTGCTGATATCCTGATAAACAGTTTGTCAGTTGATTACTTTTTGATATCTCTTACAGTACCCGAGATAATTGAGCTCAAAGTTGGCGGGTTGGTTGGGGTTCTGTTAGAATGTTTATTTACTGTAGTTCACTTCAATTCTGATTATCTCATTTCTTGTAGCAGATATCAAAAAGTTGTCTGATAAAATGTTGGTGATATTATGATTAGCATTTTATTAGTGGAGATCTTTTTGATATCTTGTACAGGAGCCGAGAGAAATAAGCTCAAAGTTGTGGTTTCATGGCATATATATTGTTAAAGAACCGAACTGATACTGTTGTCTAGACATATATTTTTTCAGTATTCAATTACAAAATTAACGCGCTATTTTGATTCAATATTTTCAGAAAGTTTGAGGAAAATGAATAATTCCGAATCTTCGTATGAACCTAGCTTACATACCGTAATCACTCTAATAAAATGGCTCCCAAACCGTCAACTTTGAACTCAATTATCTCGATTCCTGTGATAGATATCAAAAAGAGGTCAATTGATGAAATGTTTACCATGATATCACCAATATGTTATTATTCAACTACTTTTTGATATCTTTCACGAGAACCGAGAAAAAAGGACTAAAAGTTGACGGCACAATTCCTTGCAACTCAATTATTTTTGGTCAATGTTGAAGGCTATGTATTTACGGTAGACTTTTTTTACTGACTAGAACCTTTCTCAGAACCTGTCCTAACTGTCTCCGTCATAATTTTCCCACACCTCTTCAACTTCCAACCTAAACCATATTCTTCTAATCCTTAGGTGTTTATGCAAATCAAGTCCCGTAGGTACTCAATTGACGCAACACCTCCTTGTTCTACCTTCTCCAAAAAACCAATAACACACACGGCTAATCAATTCCGACCCGCTCCTTCTCCTGAACACCAAATCACTTCGTTTTTTTGAAATTAAAAGAAAGTGAGCGACCGAAAAAAAACTTAGCACCTATTCCTGATGACGTTGGCCACCTGGACAAACACTATGGGGGATTAGACGAAGCGTGACCGATAAAAGGCGGGAATGATCAAAAGGGTACAAAGGAGGTGTTGGAAGCAATGGATAAATATACATATAGAGAGATTTTTATACATTAAGGCACCCCAGTTTATAAGACTGAAAATCTGAAACACCGATTTTCGCTCTTTACGTGCACTTCGAGCTCAATTATCTCGGCTAGTTTAAAAGATATAAAAAAGTGTTTCACTGATAAAATATTGGTGATATTATGATAAACATTTTAGCAGTTGGCAGATCTTTGATATCTCTTATAGGAACCGAGATAGCTCAAAGTTGACGGTTTTAGGTGACTTTGATTGTCTGAAATAATATTTCAAGATTTGTCTCAAAAATTTAATCCACATCTTCCTACTGAATCCTTCTAAAATCTCTATGAGCATACCAAAAAATCACTTTTAATATTTGTTCAATGTCTTCTGGAATATTCAGAGGTGTTTGTGAATTCAAGTTCTCATTTTCGGACCTTAGAAAGTACCGTATACCGTCTTCATCTTTGCCTCTAATTATCTCAGCTCTTGTAACAGATATCAAAAGGTAGCCAACTGAACTAAGATATTGCTGATATTATGATAAACAATTTATCCGTTGACCGCTTTTTGATATCTCTCACAGAAATCGAGATAACTAGATTCTCAGAAAAGATGCCGTCTTCCGCCCCTTTTTTCCCATAACTCTGAATTTTGAGCTCTTTTATCTCGGTTCCTATAAGAGAAATCAAAATTTTGTCAACTGATAAAATATTGCTGTTATTATGATGAATATTTTATCAGTTGACATATTCTTGGTATCGTTCACAGGAATCAAGATAATTAGCCTCAAAGTACAGATGCTATCCTTCTTATATAAACGTTCTAGTTAGAAGCCCGCCCTACAGTGCGTTCAATATCTTTAGGACCCCCCTCTATTTTCACTGTTCTGAGAAAACGGTAAGAGATATCAAAAATCTGTAAGCGCCATTCGTTTTTAAATCGAAAAATACCCCCGGGAGCCAAAATTTGTTACCCATACCTCTTCTGGTTAGTACACGGCCCAAAACTCACTTTTTTCAACAGCCGAAACCTCGAAAAGCCACAGTATCGGTCATCCGCAGCCGAAGCCCCATACACCTCTAGACAACGTTGCGACACATAACAGAAACTCAACAGTGGGATGAATGACATCCAAAATAATCGAGAAACAGCCAAGGTGGACATGAGTTCTGATCAGAATTTCATTGAGAATGTTCCGGATCTTGTTGTCTTGCATTTACCACACAGCCAGGCTGTTCTACCGCATCAGGAATCCCGAAAATGCCCTCTAAAAAGGGAGAAACATGTTAACTGAAAACTAACTGGACGATCTAGTCTCCAGCATACCAAATGAGTTGACCAAAGTGATTCTAAATACTATCCATGAGAAATCGAATTATTTTCTTTAGTTCACCTCCATTTTTGTGGTTGATTTCAGCTTCTGAACGACGAATTAGGTCAATTTTGCCCATATATCTGAAAATTAGGTCGCGAGCAGCAGAAAATGTAGAAACTCTCGCCAAAGTTGAGAAACGTCTTGGTAGGACAAAAACTAAGACCACCTATGAAAATATCGGTCATTGACCCACTTTTAGATTAAAAATTTGACACTGAAAGTGAAATTCCATAAAAATTCTCAGGTGGTCCTAAAGATATTGAACGGCTGAAAAAGTGAGCTTTGGGCCGTGTACTAATACCAGAAGAGGTATGGGTAACAAATTTTGGCTCCCGGGGTATTTTTGGATTTAAAAAGAACGGCGCTTACAGATTTTTGATATCTCTTACCGTTTTCTTAGAACAGTGAAATTAGAGGGGGGGGGGGGGTCCTAAAGATATTGAACGCACTGTATGCGTGCATTTTGATCTCAATTATCTGGATTCCTATAAGAGATATCAAAAAGGTGTCAATTGATGAAATATTGTTCATATTATGATAAATAAGTTATCAGTTAACAAAACTTTGACATCTCTTACAGGAAACTAGATAATTAGATTCGTAGTAGAGACACCACCCATCTATGGGGAGCCTGTTCGTCCCGATGTCCCCCATCCTCATTTGCATCTCTCCATCTGCTTGCATCACCCTGGGGCCACCTGCAAAACTTGAATAATTCTTGGACAGATGCGTACTATTTCATTTTTTCCATACTATTGCGCTTTTATTCGCCAGCACCTGTTTGGATATATTCAAAAGTTTTAGTATTAATTCATATTCATTCTGTAACCAGACAGCACTTCAGAAGGCACATGGAAGATTCAAAAATTGTAAAAAAGCTAGGAAATTGAGAACGCGGAGAGAAAAAATGGAGTGAGATGGGACGGGCGGGGAGGAGGAGGACGATGGAATGTTGGGGGGAGATCAAAGAAACAAGTTACTCGTAGCAAACAAAAACAGGAACAGGATTACAAAAAATAATATAGATAACGGACTAAACTACAGATTTGAGGATGCAGATAAAGGATGCAGATAAGTTCAAACATAGGCAGAATAGGTGACTGGAACTGATGGTACTGGAACGGATGGTACTGGTGGTGGTTGCTTCTGGATGACAGCATACTCGTTGTTCCTTGGAGCGCTGGTGTATCGAATCTCCTCCTCATCAACCTTCTTGACACTGTCTTCAATAGTGAACACCTTCTTGGGATCCACCAACAACATGGATTTAGCCTCTGGCATCGGATATGGTTCTGGGACAAGTCCTCGCGCCAACGCGTGCTCTCTTCTGGCGGTCCACGTGTATTTACAACATCCAATGATGATACAGACTCCGATGAAGATGCCAACGATGGAGTATATGGTTATAGAGTAGTCAGATGTGGTCGCGGTGATTTCTATGGATGGGGTGGAGGTGGTGGTGAGGGAGATCTCGCAGAATTCTCCGATGAAGCCGACAGAGCAGGCGCAGAAGACTTTGGGACCGTTTGGGAAGCATTGAGCACCTGGGAAGATTCAGAATTGGTAAAAATAAAACGATCGATGCTCAGACCAGCTGTTCTTCTGAGCAACAAAAGTTCGCCCTCTCTTCCCCTGAAAAAATGACTCACCATTCAGACACGCGTCTTTCACACTACAAGCATCTGGTCGTGGTGCAGTGAACTGGAATTGTGTGAAGCCGGGAATTTCGCACCTGGAGCCGGTGTATCCGTTGGCGCACTCGCAGATCAGTTGCTCGGTTGAGTTGGCTTTGAGCCCCGGGTTGTGGATCAGCGAGGAGGCGCAGACGCCATCGTTTTGGCAGGAGCATTTGCGAGGGTCCACGGCTGAAAGAAAAGTGTAACTAGAGGGAAGAGGGGCTGGGTCCATCCTAGAATGCCTATATTATAGTATCGTTGGAGTCACATATCATAGACATCCTACAGTAGACATTCTACAGTAAGATACAAAAACATTTTCAGAAGACCGGATCTCGGTTGTCAAGTGTTCGATCCCTCGGAAAATTTTGAAGGGTGTGAATCAGGCTTAGATTGAAAACTTTACATTTACAAAATTTTTCGGAAGTTTCTAGTTTTTCAGCTATTCGCTGTTTTCTGTCTGAAGGACACCTTTTCTGGAGGACAAAGAGTAGGTGTCTTTCAGAAATCGACAAATAACTGAAAAATTAAAAACTTTCAGAATTTCTGTAAATGCAAAGTTTTCAATCTAGGTCTGTTTTACACCCTCCACAATTTTCAAAGTGATCGCAAACTTGACAGCTGAGCTCTAGACTCCTGAAAATGGTCGAAATAAAATGATCGGCACTGTACACTAGGGGCCTATATTATAATCTAAAATTCCAATCCCTACCTTGCCCACAGTGTGGTCCCATCCATCCAATATCACATCGAAGCCGTCCCATGACATCACATCTCTTCCTGGCAGCCTTCGCCAAGTGTGCATCACAGAATGCCTCGCACTGACTACCATGATAGTTTGGAGAGCATCCGATCTTTGTAGAGATGCTCAAAACGATTCCCGCCCCGGTGGTAAAGGTGTCGTTGAACCATGGCTGATTGATGCTGGTGAAGTGGACCTGACGATAGATACGATCTGACAGTGGTTGTTTGGTGAAGGGCTGGAAGAGCTGGATCGAGTAGTTGAAGGCAGTGTCGAAGACGTTCTGATGGATCATGCTGGTTCTCGAGGCGCCCGGGAAGAGATTGAAGTTTCTGGTTGAGTTGCCATCGTTGGTGACAATCTCGAATCGCATGGAGACTCGTTCAGAGCTGATGAACGTTTGCGAGACTTCGACTTTGCAGGAGATGAGTTGTGGGAGAAGGGTTAGTAGTAGTAGGCTGCGCATTTTTCTGGAAATATAGATTTTTATAGATGAAAAGAGGGAAAACAAAGAAATGGAGAGGAAGAGGGGACCAATGGTCCGCGGGAGACCATCTATATGCGGTAAGACGAGGTGGTAATAGTAACCGGAAGAAAGAGAAGGTGGGGGAGTGTGTCTAATACGATGGGGTGAATGACAATGAAACACTCCACCCCTCGAGGGGGCGGGGCGAAAGGAAAACGAACACCTGTTGTTCTCTCTGCGTTCCCTGGGGGTGTGTACTATTTCTGCTTTAGTGATAGTCCAGAATTCGGAAACTTGTATTATCACTAACTTTGAAAAATCAAAGCGAAATCTGGCTCTGATAAGCCCAAATAACCTGATAAACCCATAAAATGACCCTTTTGACTTTTAACTTTGATTCAATTTATCTCATTTCCTGTGAAAGATATCGAAAAGTGTTCAACTGATAAAATTTTTATCATAAAATCAAAAATATTTTATTGGTTAACATTTTTTCGATATCTTTCGCAGGAAACGAGATACATTGGCTAGAGTGTTTAGGGCAAAAACAATCACCTAAAAAGGAAAAAAAAGAAGGACAGGAAGAAAAACTGGATTGCACCAGCACAAATGAATTGCTCAACTGGAAAAAAATTGGGACCTGAAAAATCGATGCCTTAAAATTATTCTCCTGTTTAGTACCTTTTATTCGAATATGCACATTTTGAATGGAGGTAAAAAGGGGAACACACAAAAGGAGCTTGTAAACGAAATTAGTATTGCTCTTATTCATGGTCTTGGCATCTAGAATAGTATAAGGGAGAGCTATAGAGCACAGAGATACAAAAATATTTTGAAAAATGGAAAAAATGCAGGTATTAACATAAAAAATACCGTAATACATGTAATAGAAGGACCTGCGACTTTTAACTTTGAGCTCATATATCTCGGTTACTGTAAAATATAAAAAAAATCTGTCAACTGATAAAATATTGTTGATAGTATGATAAACATTTTCTTAGTTGAAATTTATTTGTTATCTTTTATAGTAACCGAGATAATTAAGCTCAAAGTACAAGTATAGGACAGCGGCGCCCACCGCGTTACCGGTTCAGACGCGCACTTTGAGCTCGAATATCTCGGTTTCTGTAATAGATATCAAAAACCTGTCAACTGATAAAATAATGGTGATATCATGATAAACATTTTGTCAGTTGACAACTTCTGGACATCTTTTACAGTATCTTAAATAAATCGGCTCAAAGTTGAAAGCTGGGGGAGAGGGTCAACATTTTGCAACGAAAATTTTGAGTTCAAAACCAACAATATTTTAATAACTTTTTAGGTCATTCCTAAACAAAAAACCAATAACCGGATGTAACAAATCTTCAAGACGCATTTTCCATCCGGTTAGGATGTCTGGAGGAGAGTGTGTCTGAAATTCACACCCAATTTGGACATGGGTGTGAGCAAGATGTTGAAGACGCATGTCAGTTTTTTTGGAGGCATGTTCACTTGGTTGCGTTTTGGAACATTTGTGTCAAAATTTTGGAATTATGACACTTCAAAGATTAGAAAATCAAAGTTTTAGAAAATTTGCTATACCCAAATCTTTGAGTCTCGGTTTCTGTGAGAGATATCAAAAGGTGGTCAACAGACACAATGTTTATTTTAATTTCAAAAATATTTCATTAGTTAAACATTTTTAGATATGTCTTACAGGAGCCGAGATAAATTAGGTCAAAGTTAGGGGACCCTTTTCTCACTAGGTTTACGGTATGCCTCCATATATTCAGTTCATGACTCTCGTCTGCCCTACCCATCCCAACCAATCGGACCAACGCAATTTTACCGCACACCCTTCCAAAGGAAACAGGCGGATGATGGATGGACCTGTCACAATGTTTGCTTAGCTAAGTGCGTACCGGAAGGAACAGAACAATGGGGTGATCATGGAGGATTAGCGGATCCCTTTCTGCTTATTTTCGACAAAGTGCCACATGCTGTGTGACGTGGCATTTGACAGATACCGGAACAAAATGGATGGGTAGGTAGAAGGTCACAAGAGCAGAAAACCTAGTTGGTTGATTTTGGTCATTTTACTTTGAACCATAATGTTAGCGGCTATGGAATTTTCAGAGCCCAGAATGTCGATACTGAAATTTCTAGGAAATTGGGGCCAATCATGAAATTTGAATGAATCAGAAAGTTGTGCAAATTCTGACAAGATGAAGGATCTCGGTAAAAAAATAGGGAGAAAATTCTGGTTTTCACAGGGAGTACTGTAGGCATTATACTTTAGAAGATGCCGAGTCTTACGTAATGTAGAGTTGGAAATTTTTCAAATAGACCTACCTAGATAAATTACGGTCCGGCGCATAGCTCGGTTCAAACTTAATATATCTGGTCGAAATGAAGAATATAATCTAGAATCTGCCGAGGTTTACTTTTCAAAAAATTCCGGGTAGCTCCAGTAGGGCTGCTTTGCTGTCCCATTCGGTTTTCGAACGTAGTTAAGTTAGGTACCATTTTGTAGATCTCCTCAAGTTCTACAATTTGCTTTTTGACAGCTCGGTTGACAAGTATGACTTATAAAACACTTTTGGCTCTTTTCGGGAAGAACGGTCCCAAAATGGGACCACCGGTCCCATCATTGGACCGCCGGTCTCAAGAAGTTCGACAACGGTCCCATTATTCCAACCCCAACTTTACGAGAACGGTCCCAACGGTATGACAATGGTCCCAACCAGGCTTACTGGAAAAACAGAAAAACATTTCAGCGACAAAGTTGAGAATTTTGCTGATAATTGAAAATTGCAGTACTTTTTGAAAAATTGCAGTACTTTTTTTACAAGATATTACTCAGAGTGTTTTTTCTGAAATTATAGGCCTAGGCTGAAACGCCTAATTCACATTATTGTCAGAAAAAGTTGTTTTAGCCTAAGCCTACAATACAAAACCAAAAAACTGAGAATTCTGACTGAATTCCAGATTTTTCGTTTTTCAAAGTACTGCAGTGTTCAATTATCAGCAAAATTCTCAATTTTGCAGCTAAAATGTTTCTCTCAGTTTTCATGGTAAGCCTGGTTGGGACCGTTGTCATACCGTTGGGACCGTTCTCGTAAAGTAGGGACCGTTGTCAAAAATTTGGGACTGTTATCGGACCAATGGGACCATTGTCGAAGTTCGTTGAGACCGACGGTCCAATGATGGGACCGGCGGTCCTGCTTTGGGACCGCCCTTCCCGGAAAGAGCAACACTTTTCAACTAAGTTTCCGATATCATTGTTTCCTAGTATAATAACCAACCGGGACATCTCTCAACTTATTTCATCTCCTAATCCCTCATCGACCCTGCTCTCCTCATCCCCTCTTTTTCTTACTTTCGATACCTTGAGTAGGTGCAAATCGACATGTCACCTAAGTGACACTCCGTTCGACTATAACCGGATGAAAACGGGGGAAAGGAGGGTCATGGACCGGAATCTATATAGTTCCGAAAATCGATTTTTAAAAAGTTAAGAGGAAAATGTTTGGGTTTCAGTTTCGTGGCCAACGGTTGGGCCAACAATCAAACGCATAGCTTAGAAGTTACTTACAGTATCTGGCTCGCAGGTTCAACTACCGGCCACCGTAGCTCAGATGGTAGCGGCACGGCACCTACAACGTTTGGCGTACGAGTTCAACTTCTCGAGGGGCTTTAATAAACAAAAAACAGGAAAACTTTTTTATGTCTCAAGGTACCTTAACTTTAACTTTTCTAGCTTCTCTATACTCTCTCATATCTCTTCTCTCTCACTCTGCCCTCTCCATCTGTTACTTCATACGAGAATGGTCCAGACAACTTTTTTCTTGTGTCTGCTTCTTATAGAAAGTCCAAATGTTCAGATTCGTCTGACCTCAAACAACATATGTTCTGCAAAATTTTACTTCACAAAAAGTTCAGTTTTGGTCCAGTTGAACCAAGAACTTATTGAACCAAGTTAACATTATTGCTATAAAAATCAGCAAATAAGTGCACTTTGAGCTCAATTATCTCGGTTCTTATGCGAGATATAGAAAAAGTTGTAACTGATAAATTGTTTATCATAATGACGCCAACATTTTATTAGTTAACAAAACTTTGATATCTCTTAAAGGAACCGAGATAATAGAGCTCAAAGAGCACCACTACCTCTTCTCTAATAAGTCGGCACCTCCGATTCATGCAATTTGAGCTCAGTTATCTCGGCTCCTACAAAAGATATCAACTAGTTGTCAACTGATAAAATATTTCTGATATTATGTTAAACAATTTGTCAGTTGACAAACATTTGATATCTCTGATAGGAACCGAGATAATGGAGCTCAAAGTATGTAGGGCCTCCTTTAAGCTCATTTACAGTAGATTGGGACTTTTCAAGTCGAGGAAAATTTTTCAAAAGTGTCCTAGTTAAAATAAATTTATTGGAAAAAGAAAATTAATTGGCCAGCTGTCTTCTGAAGGCAGCTTGGCCAGAATTTATCATTATGAAATAGTGTTTGTTTTGGGGGGATCGGCGGCGAGACATGTACGTCCTTCTAGATGTGATTGTTGCCAAAAATTTGAAGGACACGCATTCAAGGATTGGGAGACGAAGAAATCGATTCTTATGAATCTGAATAGTAGGACCAAGAAATGACGTCAAAACACGACTTTTGGGTCCCAAAAAAAGGAAAAATTTGCTCTCAAAGGTAGTCGTCCCAGAATTGGTACCCATGGAGAAGGGAGAAAAGGAGAGAGAGAGAGTGAGAGAGAGAGAGAGAGAGAGAGAGAGAGAGAGAGAGACTAGTAGTAGAAAATTTGAAACGGAAATAATTGAGGGCAAATGTGTGGAGAAGAGTGGTTGGGGTTGGGGAAAAAAGTTGGAGGTCGGTGAGGGGTACGAAAAGAAAGGATTCATTCGAGCACACAAGCACCTTTTACTTTTCCTTCCTATTCCCCCATTATTCTTACCCGAAAAAGAAGGTGGGGGAGGTGGGAGTATAAAAAATATTGTAGCA